GTACATGATACGTACATAAACAAATGCAACACGTTATTAAATAAAATTATCTAAAAATAGATAATATAGATTATAGATCTATAGATTTGTCTTGAAAATGGATGCGGATGATTCAAATAATGCTCGAAAAAGAAAAAACTCGATAGATGACTCCACTTATGAGGATGAAGTAGAAAAAAGAAAACAAAAAAGGAAAGAATATGATAATCGATACAGAGAGAAACACCCACATAAGTCAGACTTGGCGAAACAAGCGAACAAAGATTATTGTAAACGATACAGAGATAAACGAAGAACGTTAAATTTATTATCAACTGACCAAACTCTTGTACAACAAAGTGTACCTCCTCAAATCGCTGGTACATCTACCAGAGATGTGCCTTATGTACCTCGGACAGCAATATATTCGTCTGGTCCATTTACCACAGATGATATACATTCAGAAATCATACACAACGATCAAATTACAGGTCCACCAAGCCATTCTGACGACAATACTCCTATTCACAATGTCGGGGATATAATAGTTCCAAGTCAACCTCCCTCTCAGATTGTAAATGCTTCCTTACCTAATGTGCAGGTTCAAACATACTCTGCTTTTCAACGAAATTTCTCTGCGCATCGAGAATTTCAGAAAGATTTCGTTGCAAATGAATTCGTCTTTGCTTGTGATGTTTGCGACAGACTGTGGTTCAAAAAGGATTTGAGTTACTTACAAAATATAGATACGACTAAAAATATTGATTTTATAAGATCATTGCTTTCAAACACTGCTTTACCGGAAATTAAATTATGTTCAACTTGCAACGCAGCAATTAAAAAGCAACGTATTCCACCGATGTCTGTTTACAATGGATTCAAATATCCACCTGTTCCTGCATCTCTGAAAGACTTTCCTTTAGACTTGGTAACCGAAAGGTTAATATCTCCAAGAATTCCGTTCATGCAAATTCGTAGACTGCGACATGTACATGGTCAATATGGAATTTATGGACAGGTCATTAATGTTCCAATTGAAGTGAATACAATGGTTAATGTGTTGCCAAGGCAAGTAGATGATGATTATGCCATCACTGTTCATATTAAACGGAAAAAAATTCACAAATCTAGTTACGTCTATGGTATAGTAAGGAAAAGAAGCATAAAAGTTTGGTTACGATATTTGAAAGACACTCCTCTTTACACTTCCTACGATGTTGCACTTGATGATCGTTTTTTGAATGACAACAATGAATGCGAAGTTGCAGATGATATTGTCTTTGATGAAGATGGCGACAATGACATTTTAGAACAGATACCAATTGGCGAAAGTTTAATAGCTCAGCAACAAACATTGATGTGGGACGAAAATATGTACTTGAGCATTGTTCCTGGAGAAGGTACTCTATTTTATTTTTGTTCTTTTCTTATTTAATTTGTTAAATTTGCAAAATAAACATATGTATTTTTTCAGGAAACGTTCCAATCAGTCTGCTATTCGATGAGCACGCTGAAGAATTATCTTTTCCACAAATATATTTGGGACAATTTAGGCAATTCCGTGATGGTGTGGTTGCCACAGCTTTCATGATGGCAACCAGTGAACTTAGGAGATCTGATAGACGAGGTGTAACCCCTCAACACTTGCTATACATGACGATGAAAATCATGAGGTTTCGAATCAAACAGTCTCTTTCTATAGCATTCAGACATGTTGGCCAAGGTATTGCAATCACTAAAGAGCAAATACAGTCAGACGATTATATGCATGACTGCATTGAGACCAATTTGGCATTTCTTCGCTCAATTCCGAATTCAGCATATTATTGGGCAGAAAGAAAAAGAGATCTTTTTGCAATGATTCGACAATATGGTAAGCCTACTGTTTTCTTTACTATAAGCGCCAATGAAATCGGATGACCAAAGTTATTGCAATTGTTGCATAATTTGAAAAACAATTCGGAAATATCTGCAGAACAAGCTGCTGAATTGCATTACATTGAAAAAAGTACTCTCATTAATGAAGACGCGGTAACTTGCGCTATTTATTTTAACAAGCTAGTCAATGTTATTATGAAAATATTACAATCTAAAAGGTTTAGTCCTTTTAAACAATACAGAGTTTTGCATTACTTCAAAAGAATTGAATTTCAACACAGAGGTAGTCCACATGCACATATTTTAGCGTGGTTAGATAATGCTCCTGAAGATGCTCTTGACAAGGATTACAATAAAGCCATCGATCTCATAAATTTTTTGATATCAGTATCAGCCACCGAAGCTTCTGGTAATATTAAATTACAAACTCATAGGCATTCTTTTACCTGCTATAAAGGAATAGCATCGCGAAGACAACAAAAATGTAGATTTGATGCTCCATTTTTGCCTGTTAAGGAAACAATGATTTTAACACCTATGAAAGATACAGAAGATTGTTTCCAACACTACAAGGCGAAATACAATTCAGTCCGTAAAAATTTCGAAATCTATGACTACGATGATTTTGCATCATTTTACAGTGAAAATGATATTGATTCAGATGAGGAATACGTAAGGATAATTCGAGCGGGAATTAATAGACCACGAGTTTTTATAAAAAGAGAACCTTCGGAAAAATGGCATAATCCTTTCAATCCATTCATTTTCGATGTTGTAAAAGCTAATACTGATTTTCAATTTATTACTGAAGAATACTCTTGTGCAGCTTACGTAGTAGAATACGTAAATAAGACTAATAGGGGCGTTAGCAATTTGCAAAGAAAAATCATTGAGGTTATGGATGAACATCCTGAATTCAATATTTTTGAAATTACTAAACATCTTAGTATCCATCTTTTGAACCAGACTGAGATGACCAGTCAAGAAGCTGCATGGTATCTATTGAGGGAGCCGATGTCAAAAAGTTCAACTGCGATCGAATTTATACCGACTATATGGCCAATCGAAAGACACAGAGTAAAGAAGACAATGAAGCAATTGAGTGAACTTGAAGACGATTCGATAGATATATGGAAAGAAAATTGGTTCGACAAATATGAGAAAAGACCCGATGCTATACAAAATGTTTCTCTTGCTCAGTTTGTTTCTAAATATTACAAAAATAACAAAGGTAAATATGTAGAACGAGAAGAACCAAAAGTCATACGATATCGTAATTATGACATGGCTACAGACTACAATGTATACAGGAGAGAAATGGTTACTTTGCACATGCCGTTCCGACACGAAGAAGCTGAAATTATTGCGGAAATGCGGTATATTCAGCTATATGATGAAAATGAAGCACTTATACTTGAGAGAAGAAAAGAGTTCGAATCAAATCTGGATATCCGAAAGACGCTGGAGATCTGCAGAGAGTTATGTCGCGAAGATATTAACATTGATGGAGAGGAAATAAATGAGGTTGTTGGTAGAATACCTGATGAAAATCCATTTGCCGAATTGTATGATAATCCAAATGCCGATTTAAATGATGACCTACGACTTGCGCTATTTGATAAGCTTGGGGCCATCGCTAAAAAAAAAGAAAACATTTTACCATATGAAGAATTTTATGAACTTATACGCAAGGCTAACGAAGAACAGCGAGAAATTTTGTTTCACACTATGCATCACTTGATATCGAAAACCGGAGACATGAAAGATCCATTGCTCGTGTATTTGACTGGACCGGCTGGAAGTGGTAAAACATTCGTAATAAAAGCGCTTATGGAAATTTACAATAGATTTTCGGATACTGATGGAATTTTTAATGCATATATTGCTTGTGCTTCAACCGGAAAAGCTGCTACAGCCATAGGTGGCACAACGGTGCATAATGCTTTAAGTATAACACTGTCAAGGTTAGTGCCCCTCAACGTTGAAAAAGCTCAACAATACAGAGCTCTATTTCAGTATGTTAATATTGTTATCATTGACGAAGTAAGCATGGTTTCTGCAGAATTATTACAGCAAATTGACGCACGTCTGAGGCAAATAACTGGCTTGCTTCAAAAAGATTTTGGTGGATTGGATGTAATCCTTATCGGAGATTTGCGTCAATTGCCCCCTGTAAAAGCTACGCCAATCTTCAAGCAAACTAAAAACAGAATTTCAGCCGAAACACCTTGGCGAAAATTCAAACAATTTGAACTCAAGAAAGTAATGCGACAAGAAAATAGACTATTTTCTTCGATTTTAACGAAAATAGGAGATGGAACTATTTTAACTGAAGAAGAATTGAACGTGATTGAATCTAGATTTGTTACTAAAGAATATGCGCAATCTGTATGTCCGGAAGGAACAAGACTTATGTTTACAAATATTGCTGTCAACGAATACAACAATACAATTTTGAATAGTTATCAAAATAAAATTATTTCATTGGCATCGGATGTTTTCGTTGGCTGTCATAATGCCGACCAAGAAGCTTATGTTAGACAAAAGTTACACAAAATGAAACCGGACGAGACCGGCAGCTTACCATACGAATTAATTCTAGTTCCCAACCGGCCTTATATGATAACTACAAATATTGATGTAGCTGATGGTTTATCTAATGGCACTGTAGGTACATTAATTCATATTGAATTAAATGAAAATGATGAAATTACAAGAATTTGGTTAAAGTTTCCAAAATCTGCTGGTCAAAAGCGCAAAACTAAGGCAAGAAATGACATTGAACGCTTGGGAATCGACAGAGATGCTGTGCCAATTTCTGCTCAAACATCATCAATACCACTTAACAACAACAAAACTATAGTGGCGAAAAGAAAACATTTTCCACTAGTTTCGGCTTTGGCTATGACGATTCACAAGTCTCAGGGAGGTACTTTTGATGCTATTGTTTATGAATACAGTCGTTCTCACTCAAGAGAATTGGTTTACGTAGCCTTATCAAGAGTAACTAATATAGAAGGTTTGTTCTTACTAACTAAAGAAGATACAGGAGCGAGCTGGAAATTTCATCATGGCAGAGTAGGAAACGCACCGACTGATGATTCAAACACAAGCAAAAACCAAAAGAGATCTACAACTCATCGAGATGATTTATCCATCGAACTGAAACGATTACATGACAATAACTTACAAACTGTTACTAAAACATTTATTGATTTCATTTCTACAAAAAAACGGTTATCTATTTTTTCATTCAATTGTCAAAGCTTACGACGACATGTACATGACCTATCAGTTGATGCTCTTGTTGAGAAAATGAGTGTGTTAATATTATCAGAAACTCATGTGAGTAACGAAGAAACCATTGACATTCCAAATTTCAACTTTATAGCAAGTTTCAAAAGAGACAATCGTCCAGCAGGTGGGGTGGCTATTTATCATCGGTCCAATGATACTATGGCCACATTTTCTACAGATCATATGGAAGTGCATGCGAGATATACCAGTATGTTTAGCACTAATGTTTTGAATATTGGTGATATATGTATTTCCCAATGCCATTCTAATGGACAAACAATAATAATGGCTGCCGTTTATATTTCACCAAAACAGTCTTTACAAGCAATACGAGAGTTCTTGTATTCAAATTTATTCATTTATTTTAAAGCTGCTTCCGCAATATTTATGATGAAAATTAATAGAAGATTTGATCATTATACTATGATTTTGAGTGGAGATTTCAACATAAACTTTGCAGATGTCAAAAATCAATCATTAATTGAATTTTTATATCAAGAATTTGATTTAACGATGTCCAATGATCGCAATCTTAGCACAACAAAATACAAAACTACTATTGATGCAGTATTCACAAGATATATAAATAGATTTAAATCAAAATTGTTTATTTCATACTTTAGTTACCATAGACCTATTGTATCAGTTTTAGAATTTGATGAAAATCCTGATAATAATGATGAAAATGCTGATAATGATGATGTAAGAGTTGTTGAAATTATGGATGAGAACTGATAAATTTTGTATTTACTATTTACTAATATTTACTCATTTAAATAAAACCACTTCCTTCGAATATAGTTTCTATATTATTATACTTCATGTCCATTCAAAAAGTGCCCGCATTGCTTGGATAAACTTGATTTTTTATGTACAATTTCTCATGTCGCGAGCGCACCTAAAAATGCTCACCCAAAAAAGTGCCTAACGCGCCATAAGTTCAAGTTTTCACTTCTGCCTGCACTCCCGGAGTGTTTTTCTCGGTTTTGTTAGAAGCCCATGGTGTTTTGATGCTAAGGCTTAATAAATCAGTAGAAGTAGATTATAAACGCCTTTGATGTTTTGACGTCTTTGGCTAAAAACTAATTACGTAGCTTTGAAAAAAAAAACCCTTTGATGTTCTGACGTCTTTGGATAAAAATTATTGAATAGATTTCATAAACGCCTTTGATGTTTTGACGTCTTTGGCTAAAACTAATTGCGTAGATTTGGAAGAACCCCTTGATGTTCTGACGTCTTTGGGCAAAAATTATCGAGTAGAGTCAAGCTTAAAATAAATTATCGAGTAGAGTCAAGCTTAAAATAAATTATCGAGTAGAGTCAAGATTAAAATAAATTATTAAAGAAATCTTTTTAATAAATAAAGTTTTTGTTTAAAATAATAAACGGTCTTTTTAACTTTCCTTGGTTTACCAGCTTCGAACTGGTTAATAGAACAAATTTATTGCAACGACCCGGACCACGACTGAGTAATACCTCAGCAAATTTAAAACGACAAATCCGTGTCGTTACAGACTTGGTGAAAGCATATTACCAAATCCCAATGGCAGAGGAAGACATTCAAAAAACTGCTATGAGCACACCTTTTGGCCTGATTGAGTTCCAGTACATGCCGTTAGGATTGAAAAACGCGACGCAGACATTCCAACGTTTCATGGACCAGATTTTTCGAGGCCTTGATTTCGTGTATTGCTATATTGACGACATTCTCATAGCTTCAACGTCCATAGAGGAACATGAACGTCATCTCCGAACAGTGTTTACCATTTTGCGCCAACATAGACTCAGGATAAATGTCAATGTGAAAACTAAAGCGAAATAAAGGGTTGTTTCTTGCCCTTACTCTCTCTCTCTATCTTTCAAACATTGTACGCATAATTATACACATTCATTGTATATTTTAGTCGTTAATAAACTGTCAGCAGAAACTGACGCTAAAACCGGTGTTGTGTTATTTATTTATTAGTATTTTTTACATGGTGCCGAAACCGGGAGTCGGTTGAATTCTAATGGGAATTCTAGCGGGCTGATAGTTTAAAAAAGCGGTTAAAAAAAAAAAGCGGTCGACTCTTAACAAAAAGAAACACGAGTGTAATTAATTACAAATTATTTATGTATTTATAAAAAAAAATGGAGGCAGCTAGCAGAGCGTCCTGTAGAACGCAGGGAACGAAAATATACAACACAGTGGATGCATATTTTAAGCAGGAAATACTGCAGGAGCCAGACGTGGCATCAAAGGAGTCAACTCTGAACATTTATTTATCTCGCATAAATAATGCGCATCAGAGATTGTTAAAAGCTGATGAAATCGTGCAAAGCAAAGTGACTCAAGAGGATTGGGCACAGGAATTTGAAACAGCGTTGGAGTATGACGATCGAGCAGTAGGTATAACTGCAAAAATTCAGTGTGAATTGAAAAGGATAAACAGCAATTCTTATGAAGAAGTATTGCGCAACGAAAATCCATCTAGAACAATCGTTAACAGTGAAACTAATACAAAATTGAAGCCTCTGGAGCTTAAGAAATTTGATGGAAATTTGGAAAATTGGATGTCATTCTGGGAACAATTTAAACAAGCAATTCATGAGAATTCGAAATTAGATGCAGCTTCAAAATTCAACTATTTAAGTGACGCACTGGTAGGCAAAGCAGCGGCAGCAATGACGGGATTTTTGCCGACAGAACGTTGTTATGATGACGCCATAGAATTACTCTTAGAAGAGTACGGCGATAGCGACAAAATTGTAGACAAGTACATACTGTGACGATTTTTTCCAACGCGTCACAAATAAATTATGATAGTTGAAAATAGCATGAAGTTATTATTATTATTGTAAACAAACAAAACAATAGAATTAAGCTATTATTAGTAAAACCAAACCCACGGAAAAAAATATTAGTCTAAGCTATGAAAAAATATATAAAGTATTAATAAAGTAAAAGGAATTATTTTAGAAAGTAAGATAGTAATAAGTAATTATAAATTATCATAGAATTCAGTTATCAAAATTAAAAGAAACAATAAATCTCTTGAAAATACAAATTAAGTAATAATACTTCCGATTTCTTTGAGGGTAATTATTTTTGCAAAATTTTAATAATAAATATGCAGCGAACAACAACAGCAGAACATAGCGAAATCAGTAGCAGGCAATAACAACTTAGAAGAAAGCTACACAGTATGCACTCAGAAGTCAGTTATCCCGTTATATAAAATCCGTATAAAAGGAGAAGCAAAGTAAAACACAGGGACTTGGCCACAGCACTTCGAACAGTGCACATCACCAGAGGTTCAATCACAGGTCGTGAAGCAGAACACTTCACAAGGTAATCACAGAGGTAATTATTAAGTCATAGAACTGATTCCTAGCAACACAGCCCTATCGGTAGTGTTGTTTCCTAATCCCACAGTGTAGCCCAGTCGGTAACACTGAACCTAGCAACACAGCCCTATCGGTAGTGTTGTTTCCTAATCCCACAGTGTAGCCCAGTCGGTAACACTGAACCTAGCAACAAAGCCCTGTCGGTAGTGTTGTTTCCTAATCCCACAGTGTAGCCCAGTCGGTAACACTGAACCTAGCAACACAGCCCTGTCGGTAGTGTTGTCTCCTAGCCTACCTTTAGTCATTCTTTTGTGTTCTCTTATTTACAGGAGTTATATTAATTGTCCGTATTTATAATTACAATAAAATATCATTAGTACATAAGTATAACCATAAATATTGTAATAAATTTATTTTGAGAAAAATAATAAAAACCACGAAACTAACGAAAATAGCCCGTTTTTTAATTACGAGAAGATTCAGGGTTACAGAGAAAAAAATATTCTTGTAACGACTCTGGGATCCGGCGAGCAAAACCTCGGCTTGAGAAAAAGGTTCTTTAGAATACAAAAGTTGCTAAACATAAGAGCCATCAACTCAGCGAGCGACGTAAAGAGTTTAAAAATTTTATACAACGAAGTAAGAGCAACGATGAGAACTCTGTCAGCATTATGTATTTCACCAACTCAGTATAACATCATGGTGCACTCAATATTGTTAAAGGCATTGCCAGTAAGCATGAGAATAAATTTCTATAAAACGCAAAAGGGAAGTTCACATTCAACTAACGCAAGTCGCACCAGACTAAACGAAAGTGAGCGAGCACTAGAGCAAAATTGCGACAATTTAGAAGCTCTCTTGGAATACATAAAAGTTGATATTGAAGCATTAGAAACAGCTCAAATAGTTGAGAGAGATAATAAGAAATTTGAAGAGAAAAGAATATCGGAACATAAACCAAGGGGTACAGCTGTTGGTTTGCATGCTAGTTATGTAGCAAATCAAATTAAGTGTGTGTTTTGCAAAAATAGCACTCATGCTACAAAAAATTGCAAAAAAAATATGTCTGTTGAACATAGAAAAAAAATTCTTAAGGAAGAAGGTAGATGCTTTAGATGCACAAATAAAAATCACAATGCAAAGCTCTGTAAAAACCAATGGTTAAAGTGTACAATATGTAACGGTAGACATTTAACAATAATGTGTGAGAAAAAACATTTGAAAGAGAACCGAAAAATTCAAGAGAATGAGAGTTCTGATAAAACGAATATTGTGGAGCAAGTAATTGGAAATAAGCAAATGACATCATCACTAAATGCTATGAAAGCAGAGGATAATCAAATTTACTTGCAAACAGTAAAGGCCATTATTGTAAACAAAAACAATAATACAGAAGTTTTGTCACGTTGCATTATGGACAACGGTAGTCAACGAACATACATAACTGAAGAGCTTGTCAACAATTTAAATATGCCTGTAATTGGTTATGAAGAATTTAGGATTCGGCGAATTGAATGAAAATAAGTCTGCTAAGCGTTTTAAGCAAGTGATTTTTCATATAAAGAGCCAGTATTATGACAACGACATTGAAATAAGTGCAACTGTCGTTCCACAAATTTGTTCAGATTTTCTGCCTGTACCAAATGTACAAGGTAAGAAATACAAATTTATTGAAAATAAACTTGCAGAAAAAATCATCGTATCGAAACAAATATTGTCAGGAATTAATTTGTTGATTGGGCAAGACAACTATTGGATTTTTAATACACATAAAGTAAAACGAATAACAGATAGTTTAACAGATAGTTTAACAGCAGTGGATACGTATTTTGGTTGGACAATTCAGGGCGGCAAGGGAACCAAAAATTGCGTAAATTACAATTTTAATATAATTGAGACTGATAAAGAAGATTTCAATTTAACAAAATTTTGGGACTTAGAAGCAATAGGAATTGTTAATAATGATGATATAGCTATATCAAATACAGTTACTAGCATAAAAAAGATTGATGGTCGTTATACAATTAATTTGCCTTGGAAATTAGAAAAATCTAAATTAAATAATAACAAAATTAATGCCGAAAGTGTAAGCATAAATGCAACAGTGCAATTAAGTACCAAAATGCAAGCATAAATGCAACAGTGCAATTAAGTATGTAACGATTACAATTTTTGCAATTTTTAAATTGTCACAACGTCGTGGGTATGGCTGTTTTTTTTTGAATATTAATTTTTTTTAATTAATATAGTTCGAACTATATTAATTAAAATAAATTCAAATTAATTTCCGCGAATTCCACTGCCGCCATCAACCGAATTTTTTTTACAATGGGCAAACTGAAATTGCAATAAAGTAAAAAAGGAAATTAAAGTTGTGTATACTAATATATTGGAAGAATGCTCTACTGCCCTTGTTGAATATTAGTTGGATCGAACTTTATGAATTAATTAAATTAATTTAAAGAAATTTCCGTAAATGGCACTGAAACGCATTTTATAAAAAAAGAAAGATCAAAACAAAATTATAATAAAGAAACGAGCTGTCAAATTAAGAAAGCTTTTGAGCAAAGATGTGGAACTGAAACAAAGCTTAGTCCAGAAACAACCCATAACTTCCACATGAATTCGCCTTGAGGCGGGATTTCCATTGGTGCATTGCAGTGGGATTAGTTAACGAGCTTCGATCACGGTCGTTGAACTCTAACGTAGTTACAGCTGATACCGTTGATCGTTAACGATATAAAACTGCGTGCATCAGAAAGAAGAGCTCTCTTGGTTTTTGATTTTCTTGGACACAGTGCGGTGAAGTGTCGAACAACAAATTTTTTTTTAAAAAAAAAAAAAAGGCTCGGAAGTGTGGCTTATTTCTTCTTTGTGTTGAATAAAAGTAAAAAAGTGAAACATTTATAAACCTATTAGTATGATACATAGTTAAATTTAAATAAAGAAGTTTGAATCTTAGAAATTTTAATTAAAATAATAAAATCGCTCGTGATTGATTTTGAACACAACGTATGGTACCCGCGACACGGCGCGAAGCGGTAAAAATATTTGTGGTGGACTTAACAATATAAATCGAAAAATTTATTTGAGTTACTTTGAAAAATTTTAAAGAACAACAGTACAAAAAGAAATAATCGACGGCTTTAACAGTGGTCGATTATAAGAGTCTGTACAAGTACAAGTTCTTTACGAATTTCGTATATCCTAACGAAAGTGTTGACACCGCAGGCAACGGGCGCGGCGCGGCTTGGGTGTCCTCTCGACATGCTGATGAACACAAGGAGGTAATTGAAATCTTAAGTGCTGCTGGATTTTTTTCTTTTCACCCTGAATTGGATGTTACATCATTACGAAGCTGAAATGTTAAGGTAATGTTCGATCTATTGAATAGTTCTTTTGCTGAAATAATATGCGTATAAAAATTGTCAAATAGAAAACATAAGGAAAAAAAATTAATGTACAATTAAATGTAATTTAATTTTGTTTTAATATTATTTTAAAATTCATAATTGTTTTGAAATTTAATTATTTATTTATTTCATATAATTAAAAAAAAAGTGTTATACAATTTTCGATCTCTGGAATAATTCTTTTGCTGAAATAAAATGTGTATAAAAATTGTCAAATAGAAAAACGTACAATATTATAATCTAATTTTCTTTTGAATTACTTATTTATTTTCTATAATTAAAACTTACGAAAACCATACGTACAATATTATAATATAATTTTTTTTATAACATTATTTAAAAAAAATTATAATTGTTAAATTGAATTACTTATTTATTCTCTATAATTAAAATTTTTATATTGTTAAAAAAAGAATTTTATTTGTTGTCTATTATTGTTTATTACATCGCAACGGTGGAAACTACGTTGTTAAACGCTTGGGTCTCTGCGAATAAAAATTTCTTGTAAGACCTTGGACTCGGCTGAGTACTACCCCGGATACAAAAAGTAGGTTCATTACAAGTACTAAAATGTTATACTAAAACTTCATATTAAAATTGTTATCTTAGTTATAAGTTTTCTCTTTAATAAAAGTCTTTGAAGAAAACGGTCGTGTGCGGAACTTAGCTGGTATATCTAACAAGGGTAATGGGCCCAGGCACCCACGTGTTTTTCAGTCAATTTGTTTTTTCATTAAAGAGCGTATTTTCGTAAAAAGTGGATTTTTTTTTAAAAAAAAAATAATAAAAGGTAAATAAAATGTCGTGTAGCGCGAGTCAGATTGAAAAATTAACTTCAGAAAACTATCCAAATGCGTAGTTTGCTAATCACACGAGACTATTGGAGTGCGATAGATCAAATTAAAGAAAAGGAAACTGTGGAATTAAGTGTTACTGACCAGAAGGCATTGGCTACAATATTGTTGTGCGTGAAAACATCGGAATTGGTACACATAAAAAATTGTAAAACTTCGAAAGAAGCATGGCAAG